TAACTGCTGTTTCGGCTAATAATGCTCCATGTGTTCTAATATCACAATTCTTTCGCCAAGGCAACCTGTTCCGTGCCTGAGTACGCGAACATATACAATCGCACCGTTCCGTAATTGAAACACGCCCGAGTACACATACCTTAACAACATCACTGTTCCGTGATTAAAATACAACCGAGTTCACACACATGAGCAATCCCATCGTAAGTTACAGCTGCGACCGCTGGCCGAGTGGGATTCCCACTCGGGCTTCTGACCCATACGGCCCATCTACTGAATATGCTCGTCATGGCAAGCATCACCGGACCGAGTCCAGCCGCCCCCCCCCCCCCCCCCCCCTCACCACCACCACCTCGGATGCACCTCGGCATCTTGAAGTAGCGTGTGGCGTGCTTGGAGCCCGTAGCAGGGTGCAGACTCTGTGCAGCGTGAGAAGCTGCAGCCCAAAGGCCACCAACTATATGTTTAGGCTGAACGACTCTGCAGCCAGCATCTCAACTTTCAATACATAGTGGGTCAAATCCGGCGAGTGCAGCTCCTTGAAGCGAGCTTGGTGATAGTGCCGCCTGTTCAGCCCCACGAACTGATTTTGAAGAGGCCTGCAGTGACCCCGGTACAGGCTTAAAACCTGTGGTCTGCACTGCACATGCACCGCGGGCGATCGTAACCAATGCGCCGATTGTGTGCGGGGAGGCAGCCGGAGCCTACTGGACCGTCTGTCTGACGGTAGCTCCCGGCAGAAAGCGACGACATGCCTCATGGCTCAGCTGCGACGACATCGGTGCATGCCGATCGGAGCAGGCATTTCTCAGGAGTCGGCCGCTACTCTGGTGACCTGATGTTGTGAGTTCGAGACGCGTCGCTGACCGCGTCTGGTCTGCGCCGCACTCGCTCCGATCGGTGTGGCCGCGTCGCTTAACCTAGATAAGGCAGTAGTATTAGCCTCTTCCTCGGAAAAACCAGGAGAATGGAAATATAGTTAGGTTGATGTTTCGGTAACATGCCTTTATCGAAACAATGGCAGAAGTTTGTTAATGTCTGTTTGAAACAAAAGTAGAAGTTCGTCTGCTATTGTTTCCATATAGGCATGTTGCCGATATATCAAACTAACTATACCTTCATTTCCCTGGTTTTCCGAGGAATAAGGCTAGTACTGCTGTCTTATCTACGTGAACAGTATTCCTCGCTAATGGACTGAGCAACTTCCCTTGCTAAACCCATCGCAACAACTTGATTCCAAAGGAAGCAGCAACGCTATTTAATGAGCGCGTGCCTGCCACGTTCTCAGGAGCACCCGGCTCTGACTCGCCGCGCCGCCAGCGCCGGCGGCCGGAGGACGCTCGGCCGCGGCGAGGACCGGCGCCGCCCATGCCTCGGCAGAGGACGGACGTACCCGAGATGCCCCGCGAGCCCCAATTTTCCCCCTGGTCGCGCGCTGGTGAGAACCGGTCCGGTCCGCTCTCACTCCCGGCCGGCCTGGGCGGGGTGGTGCCCGCGGCTTGATGGGCCGAGGGGCCAGCGAGGGGACGCGCTGGGTGGCATCCGGATCATGGAGCCACAGAGAGACCTTACAGAGGGGTGTGGTGTCTACAGCAGGAGCCTTCAAGTGGGATCGTGGGGATGGTGTACCTCCACTGTCGTTGGTGTCCGGAATAGGACACAATTTATGTTACCGTTGTTAGATAGTCTAAAACAGTTCATAATGTCAGCTCGTCATGAAGACTTGTCACGCCAGCAGTCATAAAATTACGCCAGCCGTCGACCTCACGACTGCAGATTGATCAGCACGGCGCTGAACTTCGACCAAGGCTATTTGCATACACCCCCCTGACAGTAGCCACAGCCTTGCAATATCGTCTTGATGGGAGATGCACTGGGCAAAGTTTATTGGATTATTCTAAGTTGCTGAAAATAAATTGCTTTCTCTAACACTATCCATATGTAATATACATGCTTGTTCGTGTCTATCTCTATGCAGGCAGTGTTCGATAGTGACGGATATAAGGACGTTAAATCGGTAAGAATAGCGTCGGCCGCATGACGGTGAGTGAACGAGCGAGAAAAGTTTACAAGCATATGTAGGACGCCACAATGTCCGACGCGCATATCCTCTTAGGAAAATGCTGCTTCACGAATTTGCTCGAGAGCGCGAATGCTGGAATACTCCGGTTCTCACGTTCAAACTGAAATATTTGCAAACGCGTACCCCTAAATCGCGAATGCAAGAAACCACCAATTTTAAAACGCATGAAGATAAAAGTATGCAAGCAGTCAAAGCCGTGGATGCTCAACGGAGCAAACCCTCCAATCCCAAATGTTTAATCCGCAAACGTAGCACCGCGAGCATTTAAATTACACCTCAACAGTCGAGAATCATCTGTCGATCCGGGCCTGCACCGGATGGGCCCGCGGCAAGAGATAGCTGACCTTGCCATGTCGACGACAGTCGACGCCACGCGCGGATCCAGTTCGGCCGGCCGAGGACATGTCCACAAACTTCCTCGCCACCGAATGCGTCGGACCTCGAACACTTGATTAGTCCTCGTTCCACTTTATTATAGGCATAAATACGCAGCGATGGACTGCTCTGGTCCTAATCATCATAGGTTGCAACTTGTAAATGTTGCTTGGGTGCGATTAGAGCTTGCACGTTCCCGGTGAGTAAATCATTTGCTTTTGAAAGCTTGATCTAGAACCGTATGACTGTCATTAATTAAACGGAAAGTTTGCGGAAGTTATGCTGCACCGGTGCAAGATTAGGGCGGCCCTATTATTCCTTTGAGGACATTTCGTCCATTTCTTTTCAGGCGAAGCATGTTGCCGATCTGAAGAGGTACGACTCCATGAAACCGGCGGTGCAGACAGCTCCAAGCACCGCAAACAAACGCCGCGCAGACGAAGAAAATCGACGGCATAGAAATGGCCCGCCGATAAGATGACTATAACATTTGCTAAGGCAGGCAAGCATCCGTTGACCACGGTTGAGCAGCCGGGGCTTATCTCACTGATCCAAGGACTCGACCGAAAGTCTCAAGCCTCTCAAGGAGACCACTGGGGCGCGACGTCGAGACGGGGCGCGATAAGATCCTGTCGGCGATCAAGGAGAAGCTGGAACACATCGACCACGTCTGCACCACGGCAGACCGATGGGCATGCGGACATCGCTCTTTGGTGAGCATCGCATGTCACTGGATCGGCCCCAGCGCGCTCCAAAGGGAGTTATGTGTGTCGGCATTCCGACGCTTTCGTGGCACTCACATATATGACGGAATTGCAGAATGGTTGGCGTGCATCAACGAGGACTAAATTTCGCATTAACAGCGAGATCGTGGTCATCGTCACGTACGAGAGCAGCTTCGCCAGGGTCTCTGAAGAGTTCAGGACGTCGATCTCGTCGGCAGCTTCAGCTCGGATGAAGACGAGTATGGCACGCCGCGGGCGGCGGACTACAGTGGGATCGCCGAGAGGCTCGGTAACGGCGGAAGCAACAGCAGCAGCGGCTCCGCTCTGCCGCTCTCCGTGCAATGCGTTAGCTACGCTCAGGGTGGTAGATGCCAGCCATACTTTGAGTCTCGTGGGGTGAACTGACGTCACGAGCATGTCGAAAACTACTGCACGACGATGACCACGCTGTCATAAAATATTACGGATCTGGAACAAGGTATGCGGGTTGCCAATAGCATTTATTCGTGGATGTATGTTAAGTCTCCACCAAAATCCCAGTGCTCACTTGCTGCAATTCTCTGTAAGATTCCATCCGCTCTCTGTAAAAGGGCACGATGCCTGAGTTGCTAAGAGTGTGTACTCTTAAGCGCGTATGTCAAGCACCTGGTTCCGGCTGTCACGGCTCCTAATTGTCTGAAGGGTCGGGATGATTTTTTGGTGTCTGCTCAAGCGACCTGTCCAAGAACAAACGCTGAAAATTGATGATGACGAATGTGTTCTCCTCTGGCCATGCGTCTCACAAATGAGCTTGGAGAAAGATTCATAAAGCTCCTGCGCGTGGACGTGGGCGACAAAATGGCGAGGTGGGCCGCTTTTGGCCCCTCTCGAGTCTTCGAAAAGGTGAGGATTCAAACAGACGCCGCGAGGGAGGTAGCTGAGGTTTCTCTCGCCGAATGCTGCCGAGTTCGAGCGTCATTGTCTGGGGAGTGGATTCCCTTCGCGACTGCCGTGATGAGGCTGATAATGAGAGCAATAAATGTTTCGGTTATCAATCAGAAAGTTGCAGTCTGAGCTAAGATTTTCGTACATGCTTTTAATTTTGCTTGTGTGAAGGACCACCACGGTCAGATGGCGCCAATGTCGTTCGTGAAACCCTTATAAGTTCCTTGCCCCTCAACCGAGCATGTGACCCATCGCCACTGTTTCTGACGCTGAGAAGTCCGAAATCGACCAATGGTTGATTTTTGGGTGAAATCTCGCAATTTGACTTCACTTTATCTTCAGAGGGTCGATCTTGAGACGTAGGAAGTGTTTTGATCAACGCTGGGTTATCTGCCGAAGGGAGTTCTAGAGCTTAAACTATGAATTTGCTGGTAAGGTCATGAGTGATGCAGAGCGCCCCGTTCTTTGACCTTGATTCAACCCCGAGGGTGCGTGGGAGTGGGACATCGGATTCAGCGCCCCCGTCCCACAGTTGTCTGTGGGACGGGGGCGTTGACCTTGATTGGTCACGGGCCGTCCCATTAGGCCATTTTCAATGTTATGTCCGTCTGATCACGCACGGGCTACGCTGCCCCCTCCCCCTCCCCGTCATTCGTTACGCTACGCAACGTCCCAAGGGGCGCCCATTTGACCCCCAACGTAGCAATGTGAGGCGAATAACGGGCGCGTTCGTCCTCGCGGTAGGAAGTCAATGCCATCCGGATTTAACGTTCTTTCGGACCATCTTACTGCGAATCCAGCAATAAAACGACCCGTGATGACGTGCAAAGACAAGGAACCTAAGATATGTAAAACGAGACATCTGCACATCCCACAAAATAAAGAGCCCAACGCTCACGCCGTGGGAATGTGTATTAAAAAGCACAGCACACTCCAGCACGCGCCGACGGCGACCGAGTAGGCGGCCCCGGCCTGAGCAGCGCGCGGGACCCGTCAGACCACGCCTGCGCCGCTCAGCCCCGGCGGACAGCCGGCACCACTCGCCGTCCTGCAGCTCTTCGCGCCGCACGGCAGCCGCGGGCCAGCCAGGCGCTGGGCGGCGCCGGCGGCCGGTAGCGGCCTGGACTCCGCGGTGCCGGGTGGGTGGGGAAACCCAGGCCCACTCAGCCAACCAGCCATCCCGTTTGTGACAGCAGAGCACACTGGTGGCGGGCAGCTGCAACCGAGCGCCTCTCACAGATGCACTGGTGTGGCTCGGGCGGCACCTCCGGAGGATGGGTTCGCCATTGCGCAGGCATGGATAGGCCAGGTGATGGTGTGATGGTGCGCGGCAGCGCCAATGCGGCAATAATGACTGCCCTCCCACTCCAGTGTCAGCGGTTTCCCCTTTCAGACTCGAGAAACACGCCCCATGTGCGCATGGCGCTTATCCAAACATCACAAGACACGCCAGCGCCCGAGAAGTGCCTGACAAACCCCAGAATATAAGCGATCCGCCGCCACGGCGATAACGAAAATTAAACGGCCAATTACTCAAACGTGACGAACAGACACGCACACAAGCAGACGGAGTGCAGCGCTCCGCCGCCCTCGTCGCTGGGCGACCCAACGTCATCCCCTCCGGCGCTGACCCGAGGTCGCCCACGTCCCGCGCCAACACGAGGCCACCGTCCTCGGCCCGCGGTGGCTCGAGAGGCCGCACCGCCTACAGGGAGGCCACCACCGCCTCGATCTTCTGCACCGTCTCCTCCTTCTTCTTGTTGAGCTGCGCCTCCTGCTCCACGAACTGGGCCTTGCCCAGCTTGCCAGCCACCACGCGTTCGGACACGGCCGCGTGCTGGGTCAGTAGCTCCCGCAGTGCCCTGGGCAGGGGGTAGGCCGAGTCAGCAGGCTACCGGGCGCTACTGGCACCGCCCTCACCGGCGGCGACGTCTGTCGCGGCTATGCCACGGAGGAGGCCCGCCGTCGTACACCGCGAGGGACGCGAGCGAGGATGAAATGTTTGCGCCAGTGCGAATACGTCTGCTCGCTGAAAGGAGGACGTGTGTGGCGCATTTGTTGTTGTTGATTGGAGTTTTAGGGCGCGCCGACTACTGTGGTCATTTTGCGCCCATAACAGCTAAATGACTACCTACGGCGGTAAATGGCTAAAAAATAGATTAGTCAGAAATGAAAACGGCTGAGTTGGGACAGGAACGCGTCACTAATGATGCCCGAGTACGTGAACCCATAACATATTGATACATTTTCGGCAGCCTAAACACGCGGTATGAACTATTCAGAGTGGTGCATTTGTCTAGCTTCCCTTTCTGTAATCAACTACACTCACTATATAACAATTTCTGGGAGACAGTCTCTATCTCGTCACGCAACTGTGTCTTTAACACCGCGGAGCGACTACTTCTCCACGCAGAACAACTCCGCTCAGCGTTAGTACGGATGATGGAGGGGTAATTGGGAGTTTGGGACGCGCCAACGCGTACTGCCATCTGGCGTGATAGCTGGAACTGCACATTTACCCCGTTTAATGCTACAATTTTCAGCCTCACGAAAGGAGTTAATATTGCTGTGGTCCTTCAGGAGTGCGGGCGGGCGACTCACTTGTCCTGCCGCTGCAGCTCTGCGATACGCTCGGCCGTCTCGGCGGCGCCCTCGGAGCGCACCTGCTCCTGCAGGCTGGCTATGGCGTTGCTCTCGGACTTCAGACTGGCCGTCAGCGACTTTACCGCCGCCTGGCGACACGGCAGGCAGTTAGACGGCGATGTCCGACGCGGCAGACTGTCAGACGGCCAGAGCCCACACAGCAGACTGTCGGATGTTCACAAACCACACAGCAGACGGCCAGATGGAGGCAGCCCACATAGCAGATTGTCGGACGGTCACAACCCACCCAGCAGACTGTCGGATGTTCACAAACCACACAGCAGACGGCCAGGTGGAGGCAGCCCACATAGCAGATTGTCGGACGGTCACAACCCACCCAGCAGACTGTCGGATGTTCACAAACCACACAGCAGACGGCCAGATGGAGACAGCCCACATAGCAGATTGTCGGATGGTCACGACCCACACAGCAGGCCGTCAAATCGAGTCAAAAACCACGCAGACATCCGTCAAGCCACAATCCACACAGCAAGCTGTCAGACGGCGGCACACAAGCGGCCACCGGAGAGCCACAAGCGACACAGCAGACCGTCACACGGCGTCACCCCAGCATGACAGCGGGTGGCACGGCCGCTCGCAGCACGGCACCAGCGGCTGGACAGCGTGCGCACGGCCTGAGGAGTGACGATCTCAGAACGCAGAAACTTGCATAGCTGAGATAATCCTGCAGCATCGCCACACCAGCTAACAACCTATGAGTCTAGTACGACGTGGCTCTACTGAGCAAGCTTCTTTATGAACCACGTCAACGGGTCCGTCAGTTGGCTGCATTGGCGACCATGCCGAGGACGTGACGTTCGCACCTGGAAGGCGTTGACGTCCTTGCTCGACTTGATCTTGGAGACGCTGTCTTCCATGCTCTGGTAGAGGCCGCAGCGGGTGTCGTGGTGGGCGCGCACCTTGTCGCAGAGACTGGCGACCTTCTCACGCACCACGGCGCCGTCCTCCTGTGGGAACAGAGCTGCGATCTTTTCGAGCCCCTTTTATAGTACATATACCTAGGTGCAGCACTTGTTGTAGCAGTTGCAGGTGTTGCAGAACCTGAAGGGTGCTAACGTCTTGACGTAAGCACCTTTCAGATTCTGCAATAATCAACGGCAACTTAGTGTACTTAGTATACAATAAAAGCCATGGATGCAGTTAATTTTTTAAATATTAAGAAACACGATACCTTTTGTTGCGCCGGATTAAGAACACTTAACTTCACTGACTAGCCTCTTAATACCTGATCCCTTTTTAGGCTCATAGTAACACGTCTTACTGCACAACTGCCATGCAATAGCAGGGCGCGCTGGATTTTGGCAACACGTGCTGCGTACCTACACTTTCGGCCAAACGCATTACGCTCCCGCCTTACGTACCACATGCCTAACGTTTCGGCCTCACACACCACGCAACCAACGTTCCGGCCTTACGTACCACGTACCTAATGCTTAGGCCTTACGTAGCACGTACCTAACGCCTAGGCTTCACGTACCACGTACCTAACGCTTTGGCCTCACGTTCCAAGTACCTAACGTTCCGACCTCACGTACCACGTACCTAACGTTATGACCTCACGTACCACGTACCCAACGTTCCGGCCTCACGTACCACGTACCTAACGTTCCGGCCTCACGTACCACGTACCTAACGTTCCGGCCTCATGTACCACGTAGCTAACGTTTCGGCCTTATGTATTATCACAGCCCGTAATCCCGCCGGCAGCCGGCTCGCCGCCGCCCGACGTACCTTGCTGATGGAGAAGTCCAGCCGCACGTAGATGATGACGAGCAGGAAGAGCAGCAGGAAGGCGGCCACCACCATCAGCGGCTCGCGCACGGCCATCCAGAGCGGGAAGCGGTAGCCGAGCCGGAACTCCTGGATGTGGTTCTCCACCAGGTTGGTCTTGGTGACGGTGATGACAGGTCGGCCGGTGACGTCCAGGTACGTGAGCAGCACCGAGTCCTGCCGACCGGGTCAGGCGCCGCCGCGTCACGGCACGGTCCGCGCATTGCCGCACCGACACCGGCACACGCACCCACGCGGCCCCGCGGGGTGGAGGCTGCACGGAGCGGCACACGAGGCCCCCCCCCCCCCCCCCCGCCCGCCGACCCCACAGCCGGCGGTACTCACCGACTGCCGCTTCACCGGGTAGGGCGTCTCGAGCTCGATGTCGGTGGCGCCCTCCGGCAGCACGACCGACACAGTCAGCTCGTCCACCACCATGTCGTCGAACACGTGGTCCAGCAGGCGCATGTTCAGCACGAAGTTTTCGCCTGAGGAGACCAGAGCGTGTTGTTAACGCCGGGCCGCGTATAGGCACGCAAACAGCCTGGACCTGGGATGACACACAATGCGATCAAGCTCAAGGTACAGCAGAATCCAGCGGCGAATCCACCCCGAACCCGCGCACCTGACCATGCCAGATGACGAATTAAGCAAACCCAGCAGTCAACCTCCAGCAACGTGTGTAACTTTATCTGAGAACAGGCAGGAATACAGCTAATGTGAGGCTGATGACGTCCCGAATGAAACCCAATGAAGACCACACAGTTTCCTACTGCCCAATACGCCGCACACACGATGATGCTCATTTACACTAAACGATATAATGTCTCGCTGGCTCTCCCTCTAGCTCTTTCCCTTTCTCGCCGCTGCCCAGCAGGTCCTCACCACTCCTGAAGAGATACTCGTAGATGGGCACTGTGTAGCCGATCACGTAGTGGGTGCGCCAGCCGCCAAACAGCGGGAAGCGCGGCCGCAGCTCCAGCTCCACCTCGTCCGGCTGTTCGCGCATGCGCGACGTCGAAATGTTGCCGATCTCGTCCCGGTAGTAGACGCCGGTGGCGGCCGCCGGTAGCGACGTCTGTCGGAGGCGCCAAAAGCTCCGTCACAACACCGGCCACACCCGGTCCGCCGGGTTAAAACCGAGAAAAACATCGGCAGCGGCGACAGCGGCGGCCGCAGCACTGCAAGTCCTGCTTTTCTGTGTTTTCATGTGGATTTCGGCCATGGCTATTTGTGTATGTCACGGCATCAGGATGCAGGTGGCATCTGGACCGCCGGCACTAACCTTGAACTGCTGCACGCTGGAGGCGCCGCTGTTGTGCTCGCGCTGGTAGTCGAAGCGCGAGAAGGAGCCGCGCAGCCGGGCGCCCACGTGGCGCACGTCGACCGTCTCCTCCACTGAGATGGCGCCCCAGTGCGATACCTCGACGTGGCGCGACAGTCGTGTCACGGCCAGGAACGGCGAGTTGTTCTCCGAGTGGATCACCAGCTCGCTCTGCGGGCGCGGCGCCGGCGTCAGCGGGACCCGGCCGCCGTCCGGTGCGAGCGGACCACGTGCACGCACGACGGCCGGCGGCAGCGCCCGGCACATCACAGCCAGAGCGGCGTCCACCCCGCTGCGGTCGAACCACCACGTGAACCGCGACCCACGTGCACGGCGTCCCGTGCGCGACACAGCCCAGAGTCCGCCCGCACCCTGCCACGCCATCCAGCACGCCTCTTCAAGCTCAAAACCTGTGCCCACAAGCGCAGACAGCGGAGCGTAGACCCGCTACTTAAAGCTCCTGTGCGTTGTAGTTAACGCGTAGTGGATTATCCTTGCACAATTTTTTACGCACATCGTGACCAAACTTGCCCAACTTGCCCACCAATCGATTGCAAGTGCAGTGCACTGACTAAACTGAGCTTAGGGACAGCAGTATGATTGGGAGGCGCACTCCTCTCCCCTGGACCGTGACTCAGGTGGGCGCCTGTAGCACGTGCCAGCCTGAACCGCCACAAGCGCCACCACTGACCCTGGAGTAGGGCGCCATGTTGTCGTAAGGGCCGAGCGTGATGGTGGTGTCCGTCAGCTGGCTCGGCTTCAGCTTGGTGTAGCTCTCCACGCTGCTGGAGGCCAGCAGCACCTTGGTCGTCTGCTGCTGCACCGGGTACGGCGAGAAGATGTAGTGGTTGCCGATGTAGCGCACTAGCTGCTTGTCGGCCTGACTGATCTCGGCCGGGTACGGCTCCAGTCCGTGCGTGAACACCTTCTCCACCTCCACCTGCGGTACGGCGGCGCACCGTCACAGCCGGACCCACTCCTCTCCTCCCCCCATCCCACCCTCACCCCAAACCGACACAGTGCTTCCACAAGCTAGGCCACACAACGGCCGGCGCCGTCGCGGGAGCTCGAACTAACAAGAAAAACTCACATCTGCCCTCACTTCCATCATAGGCATCATGTCACTGTTCCTTTCTTCAGTTCAGGCAAGGTAAGTGCCCACAGACAAGGGTCTCTCACCAGTTCAACCTTCCCCATATACCAGGGTGAAAATTTTGAATTTGCTCCATAATGAAAAAATACCTGTTTCATCTTGGAGAGTGAGAGCAAGAGAGCAAGAGAGTAAGAGAGCACATTGCATTAATTACATTTATCACTTTGCATGCAGGTTTGTATGCAACAAGACTCACTACCAATTGGTGGCAGCTATCTCAGATTAGCGTGCAGTGACAAACGAACCTGTATCCATGGAACAGTCTTCATGAAAACTACCACACTGGTTATCTGCCATCCTATGGTGCTCTCAGGAGTCCACATTTACAACCCTTGGCAGGAATTCATTACGACATCATGGTAAGGTCAACACACACATGTGAACTACACCACTTTTCTGACCTCAGGCAGGGCTAGCAGCAAAAACATAACAATACCCTCTTTTTGGTTGGCTGCCTTCAGCAAACACAAACACCACTCACACTTATGGGGGCACAGGGTACCTCCTCCCATCACATGCTTTCTCGGGCAGGGTTTTATAACTAATCACACTGCAACTCACGCAATTTCAGTGCTTTGAGTCACTGTGTGCATACATATCTTTTATATGCTCACAAGTGTGTGGTTACCTTGACAGTCTGTCCCTGAGCCAGTGGCTTGAGTAGCTTCACTGAATAATGCTTCACAGAAGGCTGGCTGGACACAGCTGTTGGTGCCATGCTGAGGGACTCCTGGCCCACCTGTGAACAAACACATGCACATGGCCATAATATTACCCAAAAACAATTATCATGGATCAATTAATTCCTTTTAAATAAACAGGTAGCTAGTACAAAAGTAAAGTAGACAGAAAGGGTTGAAAAATGAAAGGTACCAAAATGACTGTACAGTATGATCTGTTGGGTAAAGCAAGACAGAGTTAATTGAAAAAGCATGATAAAATGCCTTGGTTGCACAGACATCACTTTGTTGATCCATAAGGTCACAGACAGGGACTTCCATGGATATGGATAATACAAGAAAATTCGAGTGATGGGAGTACTTGGAACAATATAAACCTAGTGTCATGAGACTGTATTAATCCAGTTATTTTTATGGCACTTACAAGAGCCCCTAATAATGAAATCATCAACACATGGTGATTTTGATTGATTGCCTTGCATAGTACATAAATGATCAGACATCTATTTTACTTCTGTATTGTCATCAAAAGGTACCATTTTCATGTCTCGCTCAGATGAGGCACATTAACATTGCTGGCAAAATTGCTACAATAGTGCCAGCTCATGTGTGTTGTAAATCAGAGTGCTCAAGTTGGTTACATTCACCACCAATTTAACACAGGGGACCAAGTTACTATGAACCATGATACAAAGAAACTTCCATGGACACATACACAAAAAATGCTTTTATTCAGAATAATTAAAAAGTCCAGCAAAATTTAGTCTTGCCTGAGTTTGGCACACACGTGCCAACTGTTTAGCACACTCATGCGTGGTAGGAATCTGGTGCCATGGATGAATTTTTGCATACTGGATTGGACCCACTAACAAAAAGCAATCATCTAGAAAACATGTTATGAGGTTACTTTAGCTTAAGTTACTAAGTCAAAAAACTTATATTCTTGCTATGCCCTTGCTGCTGATCCATGCCATTATTGCGTACCATGCATAAAATAGTAGACCAATGCAGGCTGACACTTATGTGCACGACATATGATATATATGATGCATAATATGTGTATATATGATTTGTTGCTTAACCTAAATATAAATTCCATATTCAAATACCATTTTAGTTTTTAAAGTCATAATTGATATGAGAACTGATGAACACTTATGCAGTCATAATTGAGATTCCAACACACTTAGCTTCTTGACAAAATATATTGCCAAAATCATGACTTTCTACATGATCTTGTTGACCTGCTCACCATGTGACATTTTCTCAAAACACTACTTAATGCTGTTTGACAGGGAAATCAGGCCAAATATTCCTATGGCAACTCTTCAATGGTAACTCCCAATAGCCAATCCAAAAACTGCTGCTGGCTTAACATGACATTTCTCACCTTGGCATTGATGTAGGCTAGCGATCCCTTTGAGTCAGGGTCTGATGCAACCAGAAATGATGATAAGGGTTTCGCGTCCTTGTTTTCGATGGTTAAGATGGCATTAACCTTGATAAGCTGGGACGACAAATCAATTGTCCGTTCAACCTTCTTCACATCGACGTTGCCGCTACACAATGATACGCTACACGATATGAAAACCAACATTAACGCTTTCACTACGTGAAACATTTTGAGATATCCTATTATTACTCCGCTACAGAAAGCGCACCACCGGCCACCGTAACCGGCACCAAAAAACGCCGGAACTTGCACACACGCTACGTGGCCCCGGGACCGACAGCGCCGGCGGACACCGAAGGGGACACCAGCATTGCGGCAGGCGGCAACCGGTTGGTTCAGGCGCGTCGTATTTGTAGCAGTCTGGTAAAAGAGTAGAGGATGACGACGGTGCAAACTAGGATATTTATCGCATCGCGATACAGCCAGAGTCAGGCTCAGATGCTCATTCAACGCCAAAACTTGATATGTAGGAAACATTTGCTTCTGGATGCAATTTTCTGTTTATCTAAACCTGATAAAAAATGCAAAAATACGGTATTTGCATCCCATTCGCGCTGCACACGACGCCTGCGCAGCCTAGTAGATGTTTCCAGTAGAAATATTTCAGCTGCCAAATCCACCCGCTGGCTGTGTGCCTGGCGCCTGCCCCCCATCCCCATCCCCCATCTAGTTGATGGGTGTCATCACTGTCAAAGAAGCGGTAGCGTAACATGACAGGTGTGTCTGTTTGTATTTTAATGAGAGGGTCCGTGACATGAAGTGGCTCCAGCTCAAAAGCGCAGGCAAGAAGCTTAACAGTCTTGTTTCGGGCCACTCACGTCGGCAGGCTCAGCAGTTGCAGAACGCGCTACTGCACCTCTCCTCGTAATGAGCCATTCACGCAGGACTTGTGCTCGCGGGAGCATAACACGCACTCCGCAGAGGAGCGTCCCACCGGAGTCTGTCGTCGTCTCCCCACCCAACCATCGTTAAGAACATCATCCGCAAGCATTTCGTAAATACGTATTAACGTAACCAACATATTTGAAGACATTGCAATCCTTTGCGCTGCACATACCCAACGCACTTCATATTTGATCTCCTTCATGTTCCATAATGAGTTTCTGATAAAGTTACATTGATGCACATATATCCAAATTCATGGCGCTGGCTCCGGGAGTTCTCCCAGCAACAAGCTCTGCTTAGCTGTGTGGACTCCCTGGACATCCAGCTCAAAACCCATCACGAAAATGACCAGGTAATTGCCCCCTCCGACTTGTGTGACTGTATAACCCTTACTAACACGGTGAATTGAGTGATTGTAGCTTATTGGGCGGTTATAGCGGGCTGTCATTAGGTGACTGGCTAATGACTTCTTTAAGCCTTCTCATCTATGATTTTTTCCTGCCTATTACATAACACAATTCCTTCGGGTCTGCACCACCTCTTCGCCTGCTTCTTTACGTCTGTTTCATCTTCCCAGCTGGGAGTGCCGCGACTTGATTTTATGTTTTCTGGTGTTAACGTACGGTTTACTACGTCGCTGGGATTGAGGGAGGGGCACTCCTGGTTACCTGCTCTTGGGTAACGGCGTAGAAAAAACCTGTCTATCACCATACGAGCATCGCCCGAGGACTCGCCCGCAGACTGAGCGTCCGTCGCCAGTCCTCTGGCCACCAGCATCCGGTGGCCCCTCAGGGCTTACCCAGTCAGGAAGGTCTTCGCCGGCGCTGCGGCACACCAATGTGTGTGAGTCCATCGCAGCATCTCCCGATCGCGGGAGCCGCTGTATTGTACGCCTCTGAGCGCCTCCGGGAGTTGAGCCGTGCGATGTGGCCATGCAGGGACAAGCGTCGTGCCGACCGCTGCCGAGGTGCCAGCGGCGGGTGCGGTGCGCTCCGCGGGAAACTTCGCTACTCCGACTACCAGTGTGGTGCTACCCCAACTTTGTCAATGCTTCACATATTGACCACGACATGGTTTGAGGTCTCGGGCTTGGCGCAAGCCTTAGGTGTCGTTTAGAGACTTGGCCTGGATTTTGGTTGGCTGCTTTTTCATACCCTAGCATATGAGCTCAGGTGATCCTGTCATTTCACCGAGGACACTATGCTTAAGGTTATCAACTGGAATTCGAAGAACATCGATGAGGATGAAGTTGCATGGGTAGGGTTGCACTGATGCTAGACTTTAGTAGCGCGTTTGACAGCGTCGACAGTGGTGTTCCGGACAAGCATGAGAAGGACGGTGCGCAGTTTGCATGGTTTGGCAACTACACCCGCGCGATCGTTAACGGACGGTGGGCGGTGGCTTTTTTATCCGTCCTCTGACCCATGAGATCCCAGGGATCCATCGTCGGACCAATCTTTTTCCTCATTGTCATCAACGACCGGCCCTTCCTTGCTCACGACCGCGTCATGTCCTGAGCCGTCGACACCCAGATCCGGGACGGTTGCCCATCCGCTGTCCTCGACCTGTCCGATCTCGAGATGCGAGTCGAGGAGTCCGCGAAAATTTCTAAAATTGGCTCCAGGCCAACGGTCTAAAATGAACTCCAGCAAGACATATTTTACTGTCGGAGGCACAAACTGGCATCCCTAAAAAGCCAAAAGAGCCAAGTGTCCGGTGCCATGGCGGCCTGGTGGTACGATGTCATCCTATCGTCTCTCTTTAAAATTCGCCACCACTTCACACCTGACGGCATAGCACTCCATGTCCAAGCCGACGTCTTCTCACACATCCTTCGCCGTCGATCCGTCTGAGGAAAAGCCGCCCAGTGTCGGATTACCTTGTCCTAAGTGCTGTCGGCTTTGCAGGCTGGTGACGGCGGAGCGGCGCTCAGTGCATACTATACCTGCGCCGGAATCGGTAGGCTGGCATGGAGTCGAGGAATGGTTCACCGGTCACGTCTTCCGCTGCATTGTGCTGCTGTATATTTTTGTGTGTACTCTTGACTGGATTTCTAAAAGCTACTGCGTGGATGAATCTTAATAACGGATGTCACTGCTCCGAGCGTCATGGAAGCTGAATGATCTGTGTTGAATACATGACATGAACTGAGTATTACTGTGTTGTTCCTGAATAGCTGTGCGGATGCTCCAGCTGAGGTCAAGTAAAGACACATGCATATTCTTTGACGGAGCGGGGAGCTCCAGGAGTATGATGATGGCTAAAGCGACGATTTTCAGAGGGAGTCCGGTGAGGGCTGCAGCCAGGTGCTTCATACTTGAGCTGAAGCTGAATGTGTCTGTGTGCGCGCCAATACATCTCTAAGTATTCCTTTTCTGGCGTTTCCATTGGCGTGAAATATGATTCTATGTTGCTTGCATTGCCCGGCTGCTCTTCATCATAATTTGTTTTTTCCTGTCTACATTAGCGCTTATAAAGCGGCATTCCGCGAATGAAGAGTAAATCCAGTAGCCCCGTCAATGCTATGGCAGACACAATTGTTTATATGCATTGTGAAAGATGTCCTCAGCACAATATGTCCGCCAGCATTGCACCATGGTGGGTATCGCTCGATTCCAAGGCATAATCGATATCCTGATCAGCCACACGGAAGACGGTGGAATTACCGACAGCTTTACTATGGTCAGGGTACACAAGTGTTCAATCCTACGTACATGTCTCCCTTAAACGGCAATCGCTTCCGGTATAAAAAAATGGCACGAATTAGCGTTTACATAGTCATCCGGAAATATTCTTCGGGTGAATACTGAAACAACTCGAAGTCAAACTCGTACTTCGCGTACAGTTTCTCCACCTGGTCCCTGGTGATGGTCGAGAAGTACGATTCGGCCACCGCTTTGGTCGGCTTTCCCTTCGTCATGTGACGCCACTTGGCATGAATCAAGTGGTCGACAGCACCCCGCTTCAGCACGTACTCCTGATCCTCTCGCAGCGTCTCGAACTTGGCCACCGCGTGGTACCGCACGCTACACGGCGTGCAGTACAGGTAGTAGGGGATCCAGTGGTCATCACTGTAGTTCGCCAAGTCCGTATCGATCAGATACTGCACGAACTCCGCAAACGTGGGTTCGATCCCCAACGGAGGCACGCTTTCATCGTCGCCGTCTCCCGACCTGAAGGCTACGCGCTTGACGACCTCCTTGAGCACGCCGAACGTGTCCCAGTGCTTGGCGCGCGGGGCGACGGCGCCGTGGCGGTACTTCTCCACGATGCGCCGACCGTACTTCTGGTAGAAGTGCTCTGTGCCATGCTCGAGCCCGACACGAATGTTCTCGAGCTTGTCGCGGTAGGCGGAGAGTATGCGCTCGAACGGGTGCCGTACCACCAGGAACAGGTACGAGTCGTTTAGCGCCTGCGGGAAGGTCGGCACCGTCACCCTCTGGCCGGCGGGAACTGGGGCTGATGAGGGGGCCGGACTGGCACCCTCCGCCCCGCTCGCATGTGTGGAGCGTGCTTCAGTTGGTGGATTATCTACGCTGTTACCGTATACACCGTACGAGTGTTTCAGCCTCTGCACATCCAGGCAAATGTGATGGAAAACCGGATTATGCGTAGGTGAACGCAAACGCCAAGAGCTGAATTTACGAGATTGGTACTGACAATCTGCCACCTTCAAACGAGTCTCACCTGTCTGGCGCCGTCAAACTCCAGCTCTGGCGTCACAGAACGACTTATGTCGCTGATCTGCTTCGTGCTGCGTGATATTTGTGCTTCTGTGTAGCCTCCGAGAATGGCAAAGTTGTATAGCCAAGACGTTGTCCCAGATTTGTACAGTGGACAATATCCTAGCTTGTACTTTCTGAAACACAAAAAGGAGGAAGAGTGGGTTAGCTCCCGTCAAGTCAGAGTACGAATGAGTTGGCACTCGTCCGCGTGGGAAATGGATCATAACTTATGGTACAATGAAATGGGGGGGGGGGGGGGGGTAGAATGTGAATGGTCGAATGATCCGTCAAAGGTGCCCGATGTTGCTGCGTTCAATAGCACAACGACATGCGGATGAGGTCTTGAATTAGCTAGCTTTACCTAATGATATTGAGACGAGCAAAACTTGTCCAATATTAAGACTTCATTCTCAAAAGTGACTACGTATAAGTTGGACACAGAGCATGTCAATAACCAGTGTAGAGGAGGATGTGAAATTGACCTGACTCGTAATGAATAGACTGAGCATTGCAATGTGCTTAGCACCGAGATAAAAGCACATGCGAAGGCCTTTTCACATCTGGACCGAACATTCGCATTTGAGGAGAATATGCCAGTTACTATCAGACTTCAGCCTTCATGGGGGGCAGCTTCCGGATCTCCGCAAACCATGTCACCTCATGTAAGAGCTTGCCGCCCCTCACCTGTTGAAGTAAAACACCGAGTACTGCGGCGACGGCGGGTACGTGATGTCCGGATACACCCCGGGCTGCTCCCAGAGCCCGAGTCGGTGGGACTGACACACCTGTGCCAGGTGCTCGGTCCTGGCCTTCATCCGGGCGTCCACCGCCTTCTGTCGGCAGCCGGCGGGGGCGCCGGGTCAGGGCGACGCCGCCACGGGTGCCCGCCAGGCGCGGCGCTTCTGAACAGCGCGGACGATGGACGACTGTTCCCGTGTAGCTGGTGGGTCGATGATTCGTTGGCGTAGAATGGATTTGGTTCCACGGCGAGACCACATATATGCAGCCATATCTAGTCAAACAAGCACTTACGGCCGTATATTTGCGCAATGGAGCTGTAGCTGAAGTACTTTGGTTACGATTTGCATTGAGGTCATACTCGGATTTAGTGCCAGGTTACTGTCAAACAATCCTGAAAGCAATTCACGTGACTGGCGCGAGGTTAGACTCTGTCGACACTGATTCCGTCATTGCCCGGATATGTTACATCCGCAGTTCCCGCCTCATCCATTTCCAAACGAAATCTTTCCTCAAGCACACATCCATTGGTCCGCTCGGCGAGATACTGCAGCCAATAAGCAGATCTGCCGTGACAAACCGTACGCAGTTCCCACCTCATCCCAGCTGAAGGGCGGCGCTGCGACGGTGGGGACGGGCGCGGCGGCGGCGCGCACCAGCCGGGCGCGGAGCGGGCCGGCCGGCACCAGGTCCAGCGCGAGCAGCGCCGTCCAGGTCAGGCAGCCGACCAGCGCCAGGTAGAGCAGCCGTCGACCGTCGCGACGGTACCGACGGCACAACATACTGCTGGTGTCCGCGGCGGCGCACCGCCGACTGCCCGGTGGCAGCCTCAGCTGGAACAGGGCAGAGGTCACATTAAGTCGGCGGCGGCGGCCTCGTCTGGAACGGGGCAGAGGTCACATTAAGCCGGCGGTGGCGGCCTCGTCTGGAACGGGTTAGAGGTCATATCAAGCCGGCAGCGGTGGCCTCATCTGGAGTGGGTTAGGGGTCACATTAAGCCGGCGGCGGCGGCCTCGTCTGGAACGGGTTAGAGGTCACATTAAGCCGGCGGCGCTGGCCTTAGCTGGAACGGGTCAGAGGTCATATCAAGTTGGCGGCGGCAAAGAGCGCAAAGGCATGCGACTTTGCAATATTTCCTTGCATTTTACCAAGAACGATTGGAGAACGATCGTATAGAGAAAGCATGAGAAGAATGCTGAGAACGCATATGCGAATGACGCATTCAGTCATTTTCTATCTGCTAACGTATGCGCCTTATTCTGATATTCAACACGTTTTGGAAATTTCACAAATCACTTGCGAAGATTATTTTGTTTCGCCCAATGCATATGCCCGAATTACTGCAGCCTGCACCTTTTGATATGTCAGGACAACACCTTTCATTCCAATATGCCAGGACGCAGCGCCCCGGAGACGCTGGACTGATTACTTCTTCAGATTCTATTCGACGGCGTAAATGCCACCAGTCGCCTGCACCCGACCTCCGCCTGACTCGCTCGACCTGGACTGGCGTGCCAACAGGCCTATCACACGTCCTATATATGTCTCATGTTGCTTATGACAGTGGGTCTGGAGCTGATTAAACGGCGGGCTCGAGGCCCACGTCACAGAGGATTCGGGACTCGTCGGGTGGAGAACCCCAAAACTATCACCGCAGCGGTTCCAGGGACCACTCGGTTGTGGTCCCAGGGCTCGACCGACAGCGGTCCCAGGGCTCACCGGACAAGGGTCCCAGGACTCACCCGGCAGCGATCCCAAGCGGTCCCAGGGTTCGCCGGACAGGGGTCCCAGGACTCACCGGACAGGGGTCCCAGGGCTCACCCGGCAGCGGTCCCAGGACTCACTGACAACTGACCCATAACTTGCCCAGCAGCGGGCCCAGTGCCGGCTGACGCCCGACTTGCCGGCAGCGGGACGGGGACTGAGCCGACAGCGAGCACAGAGCACACTGACTGAGAGATGAGGACTCACTTGACAGTGAGATCAGGACTCACCTGACATCGGAACCAGGACTCACCTGACGGGCGGTTCGGGAGTCGGCGTGGGAGGAGTCGCGTGCTGCGGCGCGTCACGCCGTCAGCCCGTCACGCCGCCACGCCGTTGCGTAGGGCTGACCGCGCCTCGCGATAGCCGCGTGTTTGCCGTCGAGCGCTATCTGGAGCTGCACCGCCGCCGCCGCCGCGTCACCTGCCGACACGATACACCGGCCTGCGCCGCCCGCTCACCTTGAGAGGACCCTGACCCCCCGGTCAGCGCGCCTCCGCCGGCCGGTGGCACCGGGCGGTACGGTCCGGGCCGTGCGCCGCGGCAGTTCCTGTTGTCATACAGCGGGCGAACGGGTTAGTCGCCAACTTGTGCCGCCCTGGCGTCGAGAAACAACGCTTATAAAAGCTTAGCATTTGGAAGTCATTTATAGATCGGGATCGACATGGATTACAAAGATGAAATTCTGCTGAGGCGCAATCAGGCGCTTGGTTTAAATTAGCATACGCTCGTGGGTCATACACAGCAAATTCGCAATTGGACATGCTCTGGTACATGATTGTGTGGCGTACTGTGTGCAGCACACGACACCTTGTTCTAATGCCTTTGCCAAGAGCTGCGTAGCTCATTGCTGCACTCGTTTTACACGGCAGGCTTAAATAGAATGGACTGACAACATTAATGGCAGATACCAAAGGGCCACATATTTCCTCCAACTCCTGTCTGAAACATTTTGCACGTCGCACATATCCCAAGGGGATCCAATTAGGTAATGGTAGTTTGTATTAAGTGCAGCAAAAAACGTATTAAATGAAGAACAAAACAGAAATAAGGTATATTTGAGTTCTGAGGAAGTCGGCCGAGCAAAGCTCAAAAGAAATTGTCAATTTGTTTTTACAAAAACACACACACACAAACGTATATATATATATATATATATATATATATATATATATATATATATATATATCATCAACGATTTCATCAACCCTTTAGAACAGTGATGATCATGATGATAAAACCCCACGCCAGAATCCCCGTCTTTAAAAAAGGGCATGGCTCAATTTTGGGCGTTGCACTCAATTTCAAACACGAAAGCTGTTCGTGCAACCACTTAAACCCCATCAGAAGGGCGGGTTCTCGTGCGCGTGTTAGTGCTCCATCTGTTGGTAAAGGTTTCAAAGTGATCAGCCCAGCGCTTTCCGAGTTTGGATTTGGCTACAATGCCTCAAAATCGTTTTCGCGGCTTGGGAGGGTGAAGATGGTGGTCCCATTTCGGAACGGATAATGAAATCGCCGGTGTTCTGCCTGTATGTGCTATTTAAGTGTTGGAGGAGTTCATTCGAGCGGGTTATGTTCGAGCGGTTCGAGTGGGTTATGGGTTCAGATTTCGCCACAGCATCTGAAATTGGATACACAGTTTTTGGAAGTGAAGATGGTGACTCAAGACCACCAGCTTTGGCAGGGCTGATTAAGTCGTTGGCTCCTCTATCTGTTGATGAAAACTTTGAGGACATTGGTCGAGTGGCTTCCGAGTTTGGGTTTGGCTGCATAATCCCATTGTGGCTCAAATTATCTTCAAAGGCGAAGATGATAACCTGAGGTGATCAGTTTCCATGCACCTGATAAACCGATGTTTCTCTATCTACTGTTAATCTTTTGAGGACAATGGTCGAGCGGTGTCTGGGTTTTGATTCGGCTGCAATACCCCAAAACGGTTTATCGATTGTCTTAAGTGACAATGGTAGCCTGAGCAGGGGCGGATCGAGAGGGGGTGGCCACGGGGCCATGTCCCGTGCATTGACAACCTTGGACCCGAAGGGGTAGATACTCTCTGAAGGAGCCCATAGTCGATAGAAAGATGCAGTTTTTTTAAACGCAAAACGCAACAAAATTGGACGTATCTGGATTTAAAGGGCCAACGAGAAGAGAGAGAAAAATCTGCAATGATTGAAACATTGTTAATTGGAAATTTTAAGTATTATTATGCTGTCCAGGGTTTCTATGCTGTTTCTGGGGGACCTATATGTTCCCTGACAGGTTCGTTCCGATCGTTAAGTGGCCTTTCACATTGCCTTGACTTCTTTGCGTTTGCTCGGAGGGCCCTGCACTGTTGCTGTGCTTTTCCTGCTTCCGGGGCGGTCTTGTCAATAAGGGGCCGTCCACGGATGCTTTCTATTCGCCAGAAAGGCTCTGTGGGATATAGCCGGGGACCCATATGTTAACCTGCCGGGATATTCTCGGTTGCTCGGGGGCTTTTTTCGTTGGTTTCGGTTCACCTACCGACACACTCGCGATATGTTTATGGGCCCCCTGCGTTGGTCTAGGGTGTTTACAATTCTATGTTTAGGGCCCTACGCTCTTGTCGGGGGCCCATCTGTTTACCTGTTCAGGCACACTGGGTTGCCTAGAGGTCCTGCACATTGGTTATTTTGAGGTAGGGCCCTGTGCTCTTGTCGGGCCCATCTGATAGCCTACTCGGATACACTGGATCTTTTTGGGGCCCTCCACAAGAGGTCTTAGGTACGTTTTATTTACATGTCCTACGCACTTGCCTTTACATCGGGCTTCGGGCATGTCCTATTCCCCCCTCCCCTCGCTCGCCTCATTGTTCGGCCACACTGGATTGTTCGTGGGGGGGGGGGGGGGGAGGGCTGCACATTAGGTCTTGGTGTTTGAATTTAGGGCCCTGCACTCCTGTCAGGGGCCGTCTGATAATCTGCTCGGGTACACTCCATCTTTCGGGGGCCCTCTGCACAGGGTTTTGGGTATTTCCTACTTGAATGGAGGGCCTAACGCTCTTGTCGGGCCTCTTCTGATAAGCTGCTGGGGTGCACTCCATTGTTTGGGGGCTATTTACATTGGGGCTTTGAGCGGGGGCGGACCCAGGGGGTGGGGCAACCGGGCCATGCACCCCTTGGGCCCCGAAGCAGCCCATTGGTTTCGAGAGGGCCCATAGCCGGCTGAACAGGTGCAGTTTTTTAACACAAAAACGCAACAAAGCTGGGTATTTCTGGGCCTCCAGGCGGTCAGGAACAGTTGGAAGCGAAAGTAAATGGTATATGAGAAGTCACAAAATTATTCAGTAATCGGAAGAATTGTGAACTGGGAATGTCAAGCCTCTTTGTACTGTTGAGGGACCCACGCTGTTTCCTGGGGACCTACATGCCCACTCGCAGGATCATTTCGATCGTTAAGGAGCATTCCACGTTGCCCTTCATTTTTTGTGCATTTGCTCGGGAGGCCCTGCGCTGTTGTTAGGCGCTTCCTGTTAGCGTGCCGGGGCACTCTTGGAAGTCACAATCCCTTCCACGGATTCTTTTCACTCCTTAGAAAGGCTCTGTGAGCTGTAGCCGGTATTTCATATCTTAACTTTCCGGGGTATTCTCGGTTGCTCAGGGACCCTTTACGTAGGTCCCGGTTAACCTACCGACGCACTTGCGATGTGCGCATGGGCCCTCTGCATTGGCCTAGGGGGTTTCCAATTCTCTGTCACTTGCTTAGGGCACTACACTCTTGTCGGGGGCTCATCTGATGGCCTGCTTGGGCACACTCAGTCGTTTGGGAACCTCCCACAGTGGGTCTTGGGCACTTCTTTTCTGAAGGGAGGCCCTACGCTCTGGGCCTCTCTGATAACCTGCTCGGGCAC